AAGAAAATAAGAGAAAGAGCACTGCGTATTGTCTATAAACAAGAGAATAAGAGAAAGAGCATTGCGTGCTGTCTATAAACATGAGAATAAGAGAAAGAGCACTGCGTATTGTCTATAAACAGGAGAATACTTGAAGTTTAAAACTCTCTTTGAATTTAGCTATCCGTCGAACTCGGTTTTCTCAAACTCCCCGCTATCTTACTGTCAGCTATCTTGAACCTCCGACATCTCAAACTATTTTTCGTTTCCCCTAGAGTTCGAGATAGCGGGTACCTTATGCTTCTATCAATGTTACGCATGATTGAGGGGAGTACACCAGGCATTTGTGTGCACAGAACTAGATAGTAATCACTTCTTCAACAGTGACAGGCTGCTACCCTCTTGAATGAGATCCTTGTCCTTTGCAGGCTACCTAATGTCTTTTTCTTATTTCCTCTTCTTATTTGACCCAAATAAATAATGGCTTTAAATCACTAAGGATGGCTGCCCAGTCTTATTAGTCCATTAAGGTTATTTCGGGCAGTCATTACTCTTTATATATTACTTATTTTTGTTCATTCAATTTCTAGCTGACTGAGTACAATAAAGTTGTTGTTGTTGCTGTTGTTGTTGTTGTTACCAGCGTTTTGCTTCAGTTGGGTGAAGAGATTGACCTAACAGCAAAAATTACAAAACTCACCTTCTATTTCATCCTCTGAAGAACCAACCTTCTTGTTGCTCTTAAGAGGCTGAAATACAGGCAGTGTGAAAACTAAGACCAACAAGTAAATTATCTTCACGGTTCATCATAAATGTTCTACAATCTTTATCAAGAGAATTTGGCGATGTGACAGAATGCATTTTACTGACTTCTCTGTCTCGCGAATGCTGGTGTACCCAAAAGCTTTCACAGCGGTCCATAAAGCATATTTAGCATAAAAATGACAGGGGTATGGTCAATCGGTCTTATGCATATGTATGTGACTCTCTTACTCAAAATTCACCTCAAGCCTTGTTTCCTTACTTATGAGCTTACGAGCAATCCCTTTCAGAGTTCTGTCACATTCACTTTACTTTCATATGGGCATTCTTTGCTGCTTTTGAAAGGTTTTGATTAGGAACATTAGAGGTTTCAATTTCAAAAGCAAGTCTTAGCACTTAAAATACAAAAATGTAAAGGGAAACTTAATATTGTTCAGCTCTGGCTTATTGCTCGAAAATGCATAGCAGCATTCAGTTACCTTCATAAACAATGGAAATAAGCTTCTGAGTCCCAGAAATTCAATGAACTTGCTGCAGTTTTCTGTGCCCTCAGCTCCTTGCATGGAGTAATCTAACACTTTCAGGGAGCTTCTCCGAGAAAGTTTCTTTTCTCTGCAAAATAATACCGCCCAACTCACTCTCTGGTTAAAGGAGTTCAGTCACGGTAGTTTGAGTTATTTTGGCCAAATACAAAAATACCTTTAAGTTGTTCAGGAAACCTAAAAATAATAGTTTACTAAGATAGGAAAACACTTAAGAGATACTAATAAACCATAATTGAACAAGGATGGTTAAGGATGGATATGATTGACATGGATTGCAAATGACGAACCTGAAATATTTAGGCTAAACTTTTCAAGATGCACAAACCATGACATATTTCCTTTAATGAGAACTGTAGTTTAAAACTAGCAGAGTAGCACAACTAACAAATAAAAGAAGAATGGTAAAAGACTGGGAAGAAAATGGGTTTACACGTAAAGCTTACCTTAACATGAGGATCATAAGTTGAAGACCTTCGCCTTTCAGGAAAAGATCTTTGTTGGCATTGTACATCAATGAGGAACATAGACAGTTAAAGAGATTTTCCATGAATTCTAATTCATCTGAAGTTGTGGGATCATATCGTTTGTACAGCTGCAATGGTGTTAATAAATACTGATTAGAAGCTTCAGGAACTGAAATGAAGAGTATGCACCAGTCTCATCTTGAAGATGTCTACGTTCCAGACTTGAAAAGACAAGCCTATTAAAGGTCCTGTAACACTACGAAATTTTGTCTGAAGCTTGTCTTGCAATTTTGTTGTGCTGTTGTCAGACCAGTTGCAANATGGAAAGAATCTCACTGCAGTACAGTTTGTTGGCATCATAAGGTGGTTTTTGCTGCAAAATGTGTAAAGTGTTTGATATCTTTGTTAAGATCAATTCCTAGTTTTATTCCAAAATATTAAAATCAAAATCAAACAAACGACTTATTAGCACCAAAATCAATGGAATTTTTAAAGGACTTTCAAAGACCAATGTTCAATGTTTTCAAGGAGATACATGTATGTAACTATGCTATTATACTCCGCTATAATATTATTTATTATATCGCTAGCTCCGATAGTGGGCAAGATGAATCAAATCCTGCGCTGTGATTGGCTACCCAAGCAGGCAAGATATGCTATCTTGCCCGCTTGGGACTACCCGCCGTGTCCCGCAAGAAAAATTCCCCGAGAGCCATATAATAAATCCTTTATTGACCAAGCCTGTTCAGTCAAGATGGCTTGATATTAGCCTCATTCTTTTTTTGCGAGTTTATGAACCTCAACTCTGTCTCGGTCCATAGACATGCAAAAAAAAGAACTTGGCCAATATCCAGCCATCTTGACCTCACACGTGGTCAATAACCCATACGTCCATATAGAAGAGCCAGAGTGCACTACTTAATAGATACATAAAGGAATTGCATCAGTAATAAAGACAACAAATGGTAGAGACCATTAAGCACATAATGCACTTTTCAAGGACTTTTGAGGGCCTTGAATTTTGTCTTCAGACGCAATAACTCAGAAGATGCATATAGAGAAACCCTGTCACTCAATTAAGGGGACAGTTACCTTAAGTCTTCTTAGAAGCCATCCAAGCATGCCTTGTTCACCTGCCGCCTGGCAAACAGCTGGTCTGAGTTCTGTCATGTTTTCTATGATTCCTATTCAGGGGTAAAAACATGGTGAAAGTCTTTCAAGGATCTTCAAGGGTCCTTGAACATCTTCATGGTGCTTCTTAGAGGATCCCATCGGGGATCTTAACAAAAATCTACAAGGACCTTAAATGAACTTCAAACATTTTATCAAAGATCAGAAAATTACTGTCTGTTGTCTATCACGTCACTAGGATATTTTTTCAGTCATTAATTTGAGGAACACATTTAGCATATATGATAATACCTAGGAAAATGTTCTGGATTTTTAACATGCACAAAATTAAACTGATTCACATATCATTCAAATTTATGTACATTAGGTTAGGGAAACAAAACTTGTTTAAGTCTAAATTTCTTTCCCCGTGAGATAGATGTTTGAAACTGACCTAAAAATGACTCTACAAAACTCTGCAGAGCATTTGTGACTCGTTACTACTCAGTTCAGCTTCAGATCCATATCAGTTTCCATCATTTTATGGAAATAGGTCAGATTTTTTAGAATGTCTCAGAAACCCAAGAAACGGGAACTTTAAGGAGTTAAAATCCAAAACATTTCCTGGGAGAGCGTGGCCCTGGCCCTGGCCCTGGCCCACTCTAGAAGTTTGTGTGGGACTTTGGTGACTGTCATTTTCGGAAATCAGTTATTGTTTATTTATCTCCAAGCATAAATAGCCACGAATCAAAACATTCCATACAGATCTCTGCAGAACTGTGTCATAAGCGGGGAATTTTTTTGAGTTGACTCTCAGTAATAGTTGCCTATCCTCAGTGTAGAAAATGAACAGAGCATGACAAGAGACATCTCTATAATCTCACTAACATGCATAAGATTTTAAATTTGCACCAAATTTTAGAGGAGTGAACAACACAACGAACAGTACTGTTGTACTGTTCACAAACCCAGTTTCATTGTTCACAAACCTAAAGTATTATGTACACCATCACTATCTTCTTTGACATTTTCATCCAGCCTATCCAGGTTCTGCACTAACAAGGCAATAACTTGACCATCCATCTATAACAATAAGAAGACATTGTATCATAATTAAATGAAAGCCAATGTAGAGAACATACATGTACAAAGTAACAAGGAAGTAAACTGGGGAAACAACAAGGATTTGTACTCATTCATTACGTTAAAACCATTGACAGATCAACATGAAAATGAAGAAATCAAAACATGTGTAGCCATCAAAGGTGCTCTAAGACTGTACTAATATTTTGCTTGACATTCACTATATTCTCCAAATTTAAATTTTATGAAAGCTCCACCTAGTTGTGTACCTTGCTAGACTCACACAAGGAAATTATATTTCCAAAATTACCATAGTGAACTTGTAGGGACCATCAGACATCACCAAATGAATATGCTTGGATTTTTAAGTTTTAACAACTTCTCTGTCAGACAGTGTGGACTTGATTTTTATAACAATATTTTAAGATTCGAGCCCCCAGTGTCTGTCAGAGAAGTTGTTAAAACTTTGGGCCAATAAGGGACTGTGCAATAATTACCTAGAGGGGGGGTGGGCTTGGAAAATTAGAAGGGGGGGATAGGAGAAAATGACAACAAGAGAGAGGGGGGGTTGGATGTAAAATTTAATAAAGAGATTGTTCAACAAGGGAAAATTGCCCTCTTCTGAAGAAAGGTCTTTGCAAGAGGTATGTTCCCAGTACAACATGGATGAGACTGCATGTAAAAGTTATGTACAGCACCTT